AAGTTAAATTCTGTTAATTTAATTAAATTTATCAAAATTTTATGTATTATTCGTAAAAAAGATTTGATAGCCAAATTAAATAATGAATATTAATCTAATATGTATTATTTGTACAAACGATTTGATATCAACAACTGTGGCGCCAAGTTAAATTCTACTACAAAATAAAAAGTAAAACCTAAGTGATACTATCTTTATTATTTACTTAATCCAAATGGTACTGTTTTTATACAATGAAAAAATTTAATTTAAATAGAAAAATTTTTCATGTAAAAACACTTGGCGCTGCTAGATCGAGTAAGAAAAACATACACATATATACACATGCTAGATACTTTGACTCTCATTGGGGATGATTTTTATTTTTCTTATTCTTCTAGATATTCATATTTTTTAATATGATTTTGATTTTTCTTATTATAATAATATGCTTCTTATTTATGTTATTTTTCTAAATATTATATTCTTATTTTTATTTACATTCATGTTTTACTACTATACTACCATGTTATTATATCGAGATCTAGCAGCGCCAAGTGTTTTTACATGAAAAATTTTTCTATTTAAATTAAATTTTTTCATTGTATAAAAACAGTACCATTTGGATTAAGTAAATAATAAAGATAGTATCACTTAGGTTTTACTTTTTATTTTGTAGTAGAATTTAACTTGGCGCCACAGTTGTTGATATCAAATCGTTCGTACAAATAATACATATTAGATTAATATTCATTATTTAATTTGGCTATCAAATCTTTTTTACGAATAATACATAAAATTTTGATAAATTTAATTAAATTAACAGAATTTAACTTAGCGCCACAATTGTTGATTGATATCAAATCTTTTATACAGATGATAAATATATCATTAGATTTAATAAAAACATTAACAGAATTTAACTTGGCGCCACAATTGTTGATATCAAATCTTTTATACAGATGATACATATATCATTAGATTTAGTAAATTTTGTGATATAATGATTTTCATGTAATAATTTTTGAATAAGCCATTATAACTTGGGTTGGAATGTATCATATACAAAGAATTTCATCAAACAGCAAACGCAATTAGTTATCAGTTCCACGGCCGATTAAATAATTGACGTTGGTGAAACCGGCCCAAATGGTGGTTTCCATACGAGAAGCATGCACGCTTAGCGCTTTTTTTACCTTTTTTTTAAAAAGGTAAGTTTAAGTAAATAACAAGAAACAGTACACTATTTGTGTTTTATTTTTTAATTTGATAGATAGAATTTAAAAAGTTAAGATTGTAGCATCTGAATTTTAATAAATGTTATTCGAAGTTGCGTTTTTAATTTCTTTATTATCAATTTAATTATAGTATGGATATAAAAGTACAAAATAATGTTAATTGCAATTTTTAAAACTTTTTTAAATTATTTTAAGCAATTAAAATCGATAACGTCGATAACAAGCTTGAACAGTCACTTATTTATTTCTTGACTTTTAAATACATTAAATATAAATTGGAATTTGAATGTGTTTAAGAGAATAGTAGTTAGTTCATTATTAAATATGCAGTTCTTACTGTTTCAAATAATGAATAAAAAATTAATGTGAAGGTATTAGCGTTATTGCTTCTCTTGAGTTATGTAAAAAAATTATATTTATATATATAAATATTATATAGTTATATTATAGTTAATCTAACACGAATTATTTAGATAAAATAAATTCAGTCTTTTTCGATTAACTAGAACGTTAGCATTGGAATGATAATTTTGTTTTAAATATATATATATACCATATATATATAAAATAATTGTATTTTTACATCAGTGATCAGATCCAAATTATTTTGTACAATGAATTAAATTTTTTTAGATGAAACGAAATGCATTATTGGTTCAAATAGCTGCACTACTACTATTCTTTTTCACTTGAATTCCAATAAATTTGCTGTTTTCCTTCGTCGAAGACCATTCATCGATAAACTAGGCCATTTATTGATAAACCAATGATATTCGTGCGATAGCTGTTGTTCAAACAGCGTTTTATCCACGCACGTGGTTCGCATCCGCTTCAACAGTGTAACGTCTTGCCACGTGAGTAATGTATATACATACACGCTACTGTAGTAGAACTGAAGTCAGCTGGTGTCGTCAGCGCGTGTGTCTGTGTCAGCGCTCTTGCTTAGAGTATCCAATTCATGTTCCCCGTTCACTGACTCGAGCATCTTATCGACGATTTTACGTAACCGGACTTTCGGACAAACAACATGCAGCGCGAACATCGCGAAGTTGCGTCGTGACGTATCACGACGTATGCCTTGCGTGTCTTTTTGTGTCAACTTATGTCCAAAAATGCGTTCATGAACGAGCACATGGTACTGTATATCTCAAGCATTCACCGCGATAGTCTATCGCCGACTGCAGTGGACTGCAGTAACCTTTGTCAGGTTATCCTCTCGACAAAAACGTGTTCGGCGACATCTTGTGGAATAGAAAATACGGAGAAATTGATTTAAAAAATTTTCTGGCGATCGTAGATGGTTTCAAGGATGATTTTTATTTTTGGTGACCTTATTCAACGATCTTATTTATTATTTTAACTTCGAATAGATATTTCTCTCTTGAAACGTTAACTTGTGATAGAATGTATGTGCAGTTGGTAACGTGAAATATTGATCGCTTTAGTGATTTCAGTGGGAGATTTGAAAGAGTTGAGCATATCGTTAATATAATGTCGTTGTTATTGAGCGTTATTTTTCACTTTATAGATTTTTATTTTACCAAATTTTGTGAAATTTGATGTATTTTTTTCTAATTCTCCTGATAAATATTTTAATAAGTTAATCAAGTTTTTAAAAAGTTGAATATAACAAATAATTATAAATTAAACATTTTTAAACATTTTTAAAGACCGTGCTATGTGAGAAACACAATTAATAATAGAAATTAAAATGCCTTTAACGGTAAAAAATAATTATAAATCATATTTTAAAACTTCTAGATGTGTATTTTATGTATTTAATTATTTTATTAAATAGCTAGCGATTTTTGAACATTAAAAAATTGTTTTTCTTAATAAAATCTCAATATATTTTAATAAATTGTTGTAATAAAGTAATACTAACTTGTTTTATTAAAGAATTGAAAGTCTACGTTCATCAACATTAGGAAAGTTATATAGTGTTGGACTATCTGACAATTCCTATATTAAATTGCCGTTCTCAAGGAGAATACAGCGAAACCGTGAGAATACAGGTCAGGTCAAAAAACCGGTCTCTTGCTGAGTAGGTTAACTGGAAGTACTAAACTAGTTTGAGATATATTTCGAAGACATCATCAATACTTGCTCTCGCAATACAGTTTTTACGAGAACAAAACAACATTTATTTGATTGGATTTCTTATTTCATTAAAAGAAATTTTCTTAGTTAAATCAAAGATAAAAGTATATGATATTGAAATATATTAAATAAATATAAACCATAAAATTATATCTTGATTACAAATTAAGTAATTATTTGTATTTATACATAAAGATAATAGAAAATTATATCTGAGATATAAGATTAATCGCGGATTATATTTTCCAAGCGTTTTATTATTTTAAAGAAATAATTTTATCGTAGAAAAAGAGTCACAATGGAAGAGGGAAAAATAATAGACACTTTAATTTTGTTAAAAATTTATTTTGTATCGTCAGTGTTAATTACGGCGCGCAATTATGGCTATAATATATTGATGTGTCTTGTCAATAAACTTTAGGCCATCAAAGTTACATAAACATTTTTCTCGAAGTGATAATAAATAATACATTTTTCGTCCTATCTCACGTACTTTCGATTTCAGGTATTTCAGCTAGTAGCCATCAATTCGTACCGTTACATATTGACTTTAGGATCAACGCAACATTTTATCGACATTTTATCGACATCGTAGACGTTCCCATGCTTTCCCATCGTAGGCAAATTGTAGGGAAAAGGGAAACATTTTCTGTCGAAAAAAAACAATCGACTCTTATTCCAATATCAATCAATACTTGTCGATTCTTGTGAAGTACTTTCTAATGCCTTTTACACCTCTTAACACATTGTCAACGAGATATTTTTCCATTTGACGCATGCTATAGCTTAACTAATCTAGCCTTCGCTTGTTTAACATTCGAGTTATTAAAAAAATTTGAAAAATAAGTTACTTCTCTGTCGTCGAACCTAAACATGTGTGTTTTAAGGATTTTTTAAGAACTCGGTTTTCCGAATCTGCAAAAATGAAGATGTACTACACCATAAATCTCGTTGACAGCTAATGGCTAACGCCATTATTTGGACGATTAACTTTTGTGACGCTAATGGGCTTCTAGGCTGTAAAACATATAGTTGTCAGACTTATGATGTAAGAACTTACACGATTACTCCGATACGGTACGATGCACAATAATTTCGAGTAAAAGTTAACATGAATAATTTGTGTGCTCCAGTTTTACGTCAACAGTTTTGCGCGTGAAATTTATTTTAGAATAATTTAATATAAAGATATATTTAATGATCGATATATACATAACGATCAAATATAATTTATGATAAATATTTAAGAATGTTAATATTTTAATGTTTCGTATTATTTCAATTTTATTTTGATCAAAGCATGGATATCTGTTTGTTTAAATAAATTCCATATTAATGCAACGATTCTTTAAGTTTATTATACATTTATTTTACTTCTCCAAAATAATTATTCAAGCATTTATCAAAAAATTTTTAGATAATAGGAAAATGTTTATTGATGGAAAAGGAAAATTGTCGATTTTGAACATAAATGACCCGGTGCTCATTAATTAATACGTTTCGATCGAGATCTCTTTGCTTCAACAATTGACTAGCTTTGTCGATCAACATTTAATATCAACTGGATCTGCCAGCGCTGTTGAAATTCTCGCAAAAGCATAGATTCAACTTATACCTTATATCTGTTTATAGAATTATCGTATTAATCGACGGTGATTCCAGTCGAGCGTTATGTTCACCGCAGCACACATAATTGGATTGTGAAAACTAGCGTTTAATCCAATTCATGATTTGATACATTATTTTTCACACATGACATATTCAATGAATTAGTTAAATGATGTGCTCGTTAAAGACGACATTTAATCATTCGATCAAGCTAATTGATTGGACTTGTCAAAATATCTTTTATCGTGCTCTATTATTTTTTCTATAACAAATATAGCTCTTTTTTTTTACTTATCTTTCGGGAAGGATTGCCTAGGCGCAAAGAAGTTCGATATGTATATTCTGATCGAGTAAATCGAGAGCTCGTGCCGCGCCAGTAGCTGCACATCGACATAATTAACATTTATGTATACACTTTGACCAAGTTTGTACATATGCACACAAGCGCCCCATATACATACATACATATTTACATACGAATATATCGAATATATCTAATCTATAAGACATTGAATACTGCAGAACGTCAACGTTTTCATTGAACGTCGTAACACTCGGACGATCGATCGTTTCTACACAAACGTGTACTCTAGAGTCGAAGATCGCAATGTGATAATTTGATAGTTTCGATATTACTTCAGGGAATCTGGTTTTCGACAGCATGAATAAGAAAGAATTCACATTATTGCATTTTCTCTCTCTCTCTCTCTCTCTCTCTCTCTCTCTCTCTCTCATTGCGAATAAACTCTGAAATCATTTTCTGAATATCTAAAGCATTGAAATGTTGATTCAGTAAAATTCCATTCATTCTGTTGAGATATCATAAAGTATTTATCTTATTTTCATCTCTCTTGGTGTTTGCAATTGCACCAGCTGCTTTGTCGCGTTTGTTAGTCGAATCCGCATTGGTTTCTCTTTGCTCTTTTTGGGGGGACAGAGAAAATAGCTCGTTTCCTGCAGTTTATTTTTTTTTTTTGAGCAATTGCATTATATTAAGGCTTTTATTTCTGCATTTTGAATACCAAATTTCCTATTTCACATCGCGATATTTTTATGTAAAACTGGTTTTAACTAATTAAATTTACCGGTAAAATAATTAAGCGGCGATTTTAAGTGTTCTTTGCAGTTCTTTTTACGAGCTATTCAATTACTACTAAAGCAGTAATTGAATTAAATAGAATATCTTATTTGAAAGTCCTTTTAAAGGTTGCTAGAGTTGCTGGGATCGATGAGAAAAAAAAATATTACTTGTCGGTTAGTCGACGCCGTCGACGCCACAGTAACATGATGCAATTTCATTAACTTTCTGTCAGAAAGTTTGCTAGTGTAGAAAATCGTTCGTCCGATGTTTATAGTTCTCTCCTACATCCGCCCAGAGTTTACTTTTGTAATTATATGAATTTCCTTTCACGCTAGAGGTCCTTCAAAATTCTGAAATCAAAGTAGAATTGTAGCTCTGTGGATGGGCAAAGAACGGGCACCGGCATTAAGCTCATATCAATAGAAAAAGATCTTTATAATATGTGGTTTAAAATATGCATGATTTCATAAATTATTACAATGAACGTTATTATAAATTATTACAGTATCAAGATTGTAGAATATCGAGCATTATAATTACAAAGAGCAGACGAGAGTATAAAATAAAACAATTTTCTCACGTTCTTAGAGGCGGCTACAATTCAATCGTTGAGTCTAGAATACATTTATTAACTCGCCGTGGTCCCCTTCTTGTTAAAGCAAACTGTTCACACATACGAGGTTCGTTCGTCCACGGTTTCGTTGTATCAGGCTTAACCTTCTTCGATTTGCTTCTCTGATTACATACATGGGAGTCTTCTCTCTTCGTATTGACTAGAATAATGTAGAAACGTCCACTTCGTTGGACACATCGCGAGAAAAATTAGCATCGCAGTTAATTCGGAAATTATTAAAAGTAATCAAGCTGATATCTATAAATCACATGTTGTAAATAAAAGTTTCGGATCAATAATATATTGAGCCAAACGAAATGTTTTTTTTACAGCGAATTTTACGGAGAATGGTAGATATTTTATGAAATTTCATAAATTATTTTTCGTTGCTAAAGGTGGCTCGATACATTATTAGTTTCCGAGTTTTTTTTTAAACTAACATTGCACATTTTTGATGCTAAGTGTATCTATTTCTTCGAGGATGTTGGCGTTCTTATTGTCACGAGAATAAATATTTGTCCTATTAAAGCACATCATTAAGTTACAGAAAGTCTTTACCTAATGTAGACAATACATGATTTTAAATACTGTATGACTGTAATGTAAAAATTAAGAACTTTTTTCCAATTTTTTGTTGTATAAACTCTGAAAAAAAATTAAATCCGAGAAAACTGACACAACGTGAAAGAATTTGAAAACACGATTGAATGAGGAACTTCAGCTACCTTGATTTATGAAATAATTGTCCGCATACATTTAAGCTTACACATAAAAATTGACACTTGTTACTACATAATATACTTCACTTAATTAATAAGCCTACATCCTCGAAATGCTCATCTTCGAAAAAAATTTCCTACCGCTGACACGTTGCTGACCGACATCTGTTCGGGCATCGATTATCATAAACGTAATCATGGTAGAATCCATCGTTAATTAACTTTAGATTAACATTCGACAGAACTAAAGATTTCTAACACACAATCACATACATTGTAGGCATTGCTGAAGAACAATTTAAGTACGAGTGTACAAGACGATGAATTGTCGCTCTTTATGTTTCGCTAATATCCGGCATTTCGGTGCACATTTAACTCGAATTTGGCTGATGATTGCAGTTGCTAAACTTCTGTAATTACAGCAGATTTGCATAAGACGACTTAAATATGGGTATAATTAATAAAATCTTCTTATGTAGCTCGTCTTATGTAACTGATTATACATTTATAAGTTATAAAAGGTAAAGGTGCGCTTTCAAAAATGCTATTACATTTTTTTCATTAATCAACGTTGCTAATAAATGTTCCTTATGCTTTTTCGAAATGTTTGAAATAAATATCATGTCTAGCATTTTCTAATCATATATTTGCTGTGAATTAAGTTCGCAGAAAGTTTCTTAATTTTATTTGTTCTTTGGACTGTATTCAGTAATTTGTTTGTAAGATCGTTTATTTCTTCTGGCTTCATTAATTTAGAAGTAAGTATGTGATCGAAAACGTAATTGACATAAAATCCGCAACGAAATGCCAGGATTATTCCCTGTGAATGTCGATTATTCTTCATTTGTCTTGAGACTTAAAACTAGTGGCGCAATTATCCCGTTCGTCAGCAGTCGTTTATGGACGGCACACGACGACTCTAATTTGCGCACGTGTCCTGGATATTATATTGCCGTTTTGGACTTGAGTACATGGAAGAATCTTAAATAGCGCGAGAAATAATAATTGATACTTTCTATCGCCGATATGATGTGTCGTCCATCAAGAATTCTTGCTCGAACATTCCCACCTGTCAATATTATCGATTCATTAACGAGAGCGAGTAAAATAATCTAACAATTATTTCGGAAGATTTATACACGAAATAGGATAATTTAATTTCATATGAGAATATATAATATTTGCAAGAAGTTTCTCATACAAGGTTCTCTACTTTCTGCGGAAATTTTTTAACTTTCTTAAATATTTGTTTGCAACCCGAAATTAATGTTGAGTTTGTAGAAAGTTTCAATTTTCTATAGTACACTGTTCGTTAATTGAATCTTTGATCACGTTTATGAGAGAAGATCAAATTGCGAATTATTTGAAGAATTAATTTAGTTACTTTGCGCATCCATCGTAACGGAGCGATATAATTTAAATTTCCATTATCATTTTGCAAATTGTAAAAGTGCAGAAATATTATGCTAGCATTACATATACTTTTCACAGTAAAGTATTTCAATGATAAATAAGTAATATTTTGTTGTTTGTATTGACATTTTTTAAATATATATTTTATCAGTTTGATAATATATCGATTTATTAAAATAATGTTTGTTTAATTCATTTAATCGGTTTAACTTATTCTTCATCCTTTTTTAATTCTTAGAACTAGAAAAAGATGAAGAGTTAGTTAAACCAAGATTAAAATTTAACTATATATTGTTAAAAATGGGCATTAAGTCATTTACAATAGCAATTGTTTTATTAATTCAACTAATTTATTTCTGCATACGTCATTATGTAGATAATATTTTTGCTTGCATATAAAACATTTCGCACAAAGTGGAAATTTTTCTTGATAACGAGGCCTGCTCTCTCGTGCAATAAATGTCCGTTGTGCAACTGATTGTGCACGTGTCCTCACCAGTAAGCGCGTATCTGATGCGACGATATGGTTGAAAGTGTTATATAACAATTCTCTATCTATAGGAGCATTTCAATTCCGTGGCAAATTGTCGCAGTTGGATGTAGTTGCGATTTTATGTTAACAAGATATAGCTCTATATCACGATCACGGTGATAAAATTTTTAACGGTTGACGTATATATAAAATAAATAGAAGTATATGAAGCGTCTAAAAAAAGGTAGATAATAGTAAGTTACTTCTTCGTAAGAATGCTTTTTTAATATTTAGGAAGAAATATTGACATGAAACATTCCATGTATTTTAATAAACCGAAACTGATGAAACTTCAGAAAAAGCTAATAAATTAATGTCCTGTTCAATAAATTAAAAGACATTACTATAAAACAGTATTAAATTAAATTAAACGATTAATAATTGGAACCAACCAAGGTCATAATTTAAATTAAACGTTTAAAAGTGCAATATTTTTGCAAACTTTTTAACAACATGAAATTTTATGTAACATACATCACATGAATAATACAAAAAATAAATAGGTATGAGGACATTTTGAAATTACTGATTAACGTATATTTGAAAAAGTTGAAATTAGTTAAAATAGTTGCGAAGCTCACGGTGAAGTAAAATATTTGCATGTTCTGGCAGCAATTTGCGGACTATTTTGGATAGATATTCGCGATGTATTACAGGTTGTTACTTCGCCTAAGATAATAACCCTCTTTGCTTACTTTCTCCCTTCACGAATCCAAATTTATCGCGAGATTATGCGGCCGATTGTGATGCCATAACATAAATTGCATCAAACATGCATCATACGTATTCAGCAAATTGATCAGAATAAGAATACATATTCCTGAAATCTAACTATGAGATAATAATTTTTTTTTTCAAATTTTAGCGATGCTTTTCGTACTCTTATTATTTATATTTCTAAATAATTTAGTCGTAAATATTTAATTAAGACATTTAAATTCAGAAGAAAATTAGAATTATTTATATTAGAGTTTTGTTCATCTCGTTTCTACTCGTATAATAAATTTCACTTTTAAAAGAGAAGTAGATTTTAGAAAAACACTAATATATTAAATGTTTAATATGAACAATAATCAATACCAATCAGACAGCTCCGCTGCTATTGTTGATGACTGTCTTCTCCATGGCGTCAGTGTTGTTATTGGAATTCGTTTTGGTGATGTCTATCTGATTAGATTTCGTGTTGTCCCTCGGCCCGTCCAGGAAGTAAGTTATCATACTGCCCTTCCCTTTGACTTGAATCGTTCCGCGGCACGTGAGCGGATATCCTTTAGTGACCAGAATATCGCGGACCTCCTGGGTGACTTGAATCCCGTCTAACACGCCTGTAGAATCCATCCTGGAGGCTACGTTCACGGCGTTGCCCCAGATATCATATTGCGGTTTTCTGGCACCGATCACACCTGCAACCACCTGCGCAATTCGCGTTGCATATTGAGTCTCTCCCTTGAGAATCTTCGACAACTTTGCCGCGATTTTCTTTCTCGCAGCTGAGTTCGAATACTATGTGAACGAAATAATCAAAATTTGACATGTCACGAGAAAATATCGTGGAAGAACTGTGAATTTGACACAGAAATTTTAAGTTGAATCATCTTTAGAATTAAAAAAGAAATAAAATTAATATCAGGCAGCTTTTTTCAAGATGTATTAAAATTTGAGAGAAAGTAATATCAAATTTAATATATTCTTTATTTTTCAATTAATTTTAAATTGATATGTGAGATATAATTTTTTCGAGTTATTCTATCGCACAAGTTTTCAATATATTTTCAGATTCTCTCTCGTTCCGTCGCTGAATGCAATTTACAAATTATTTACAAAAGATGCAATGGTATAGCGATTTAAAATTGCTCGTTCTATGTTATTCAATATTACCGGTCCAATGTTGATGCCCACACGCATGCGAAAGTTATTAAAGCTGTGTTCATTGACATAGGCCAGCTGCTCGCGGATTCTCAGGGCGTAATCCGCCATTGCGACTATGTGCTTGTAATCCCGCATATCGCACGTGCTTTTCGTTAGGCCTAAAGCAACAAAAAAAAATTAGAGTGAACTTTGCGCGACGGCGTTGTTCCGATCGCAGTGTCCTAATTCGAGTAACGAGTCTGAGTTGTTAGGAAATTGTTAGGAAATTGCGCGAAAAATCAAGTGGGAAATTAGATCTGTCCTCGTGGAACTAGAAAAATTTTGTTACGAGAATTAAAACAGTGAATTTTGGACGCGAATTTAATTTGGAAATATATTCGGTGGTGATAACAAATAAATAAATTAAAAGTTAGTCATTGAAATGTGTAATGAAGATAAAATATTTTATCATGCTTTTACGAATTTATTGAGTATGAGTCTTCAAACCGGATAGAATAATTAAATTTAATCCAATTAATTTTGATCGACTCAGCGATTAATTGTAAATGCAGTATCGCTCTTTTCTGGAACGATATAAAAGTTGATGGCGGTTTTTGGAGATAAATCAAAGAATTGTTGAGTAACGATGCTACTAATAAGACTCCATGAGAGACATACCTGAAGCGGCCATATACGTGGCGCCTGTACTCTTGATCTTCTCGATGTACTTGAACTGTTCCTCAGCGAGTAATTCGTCGAAGTCAGCAATGATTTCGTTGAGAAGCCTGAGGCATTCCACGCCCTCGTTATTCGCTTCGAGTTCTACGTAGAATTCCGAAAAATTTGGTATCGAGGCGAACATAATGCACACAAAGTCGCATTGTTCGTGGTACAATTCCTGCGAAACAATTGACATCGTTTTGGACATGCCTATTCAGTTTTTTTTTTGTAGAATAGATTTCTTTTAATATTTTACAAGAATCTTGTTTATTTAGTCTTGCCACTTATAAATAATTATACTAATTTTCAAACACTATAATTGTTCTGATCATTTTAATTGCCTATAGACTGTTAATATACTTTTTTAATAATTTATTTTAATTATTTGGTACTTTGAGAGTAGTATTGAAATCTATTTGCAATAAATGTTATTATCATCATTATTATTTGATATCTAATTTCATGCATTAAATGTGGAATTGCTGCTGGGTAGGAGAGGACAAATTGGATAAATAGATAGATAGGACACAATTATGGGTAAATAGATAAATACTGATTGAAATTCAGTCTGGAATCTAGAAATTGAATGGTTTAACATTTAACACGTCAGTTGTCACAGGTTCGTAATTTTTGTACATCAATTGTGATTAAGGATTACTTTTAAAATTTTGAAATCTTGAAAGTAATCCTTCATTAAATTATAAATATTTGACATTACCTAAGTGATCTTTATATACGACAGCTAAGGATTATCATATTATATACTGAGAAAAAGATGTCTAAAAATATATTTATGAGAAATACATTTATTTCACTGAAATAAATATTTATTTAAATACGGGTGAAATAAAATTTTATTCTTAGCAAATAAGCTATTTATTTTATTTTTTTGCAATTAATGAGATATATTTCACAGAAATGTATATTTCGTCATCACAATCAAATTTCGTAAGTAACATTTGCTTCATAATACTTCGACGTTTTTCTCTCAGTGTAAAATTGTTTAGGATTAATGATTATTATATTTACGACTTAATTAGGAAAAGAAAGAATGGCAAAGGAAAAGCAAAGGAATAAACACTGCTTTTATGAAAATGTCGCTGTCAAGAAGCTTCTAAGAAAGCTGAAACTCAATTAACTTTATTAAGATGAACTTTAAAATATACGGTAAGACTTTGTTTTATATCCTGTTAGATTTCAAAGGAGTAATGGTAAACCAATCCCTTGAGTTAAATAATGTTTTGTTATTTTTAACTTCTGTGTGTGTCAAAATGTAAATTAATCCATTCCTTCAGTTAGTTTCGAGGTAAACAACGTCCATATTAACGTATTCATTTATTGTTAGTAAATAATAATACTAAATTTAAAATAAATTTAATTAATTTTCTTGAGTTAAATTATTTAATTCCATTTAAATTAACGATATACTGAATAGATGCAATGATGACGTATAAATGGTTAAAAGTAACTCAAATTGGATATAATTAGACACTATGAATTTAATAATATACAAGATGGGGCATTTTAATCGCCCCAGGCGAATATCTTAGAAATTAAGAGAGATACAAGAAAAAGTTTTATATGAAAGTTGTAGGTTTTCTTGGGGGAAAGGAGGTGGAAAGAACGGATTTTGGATAGGAGGCACTACCAAGGTCAGATCAGGGTCAACATGAATTTTTTAAATGGAACCTCCAATTTTTTATTGCATATTCTTGTAGCACACCTCGAGAGCTTTCCAAAACGCTATAATAAAATATTTTTTCATGAAGCACTTTTCGAGTTATAAGGTTTGCATGTTACAGTACCGCTGGCATTAGCGTTACCCACGGTATCCAACCGACGGCTAAAACATCTTGAATGTTGTTCAGGATCATGTCCTGGATAATATTTGTCAAGATCAAGGCGATTGGAGATTGTACTTCTTATTTTCATTTTTACGTAGAAATGAATTTTTAGTGCAAAAATGAAAATTAGAGGAATAACCTCCAATGACCTTGATCTTGACAAATGTTATCCAGGTCGTAATCCTGTACAAATTCAAAAAGTTTTAGCCGTCGGTCGGACACCTCGGGTAATGTTATTGCCGGCGAAACTATAACATTCAAGACTTATAACTTGAAAAGTACTTCATGAAAACATATTTTATTATAGCGTTTTGGAAAGCTCTCGAGGTGTGCTACAAGAATATCAATAAAAAGTTGGGGTTTCCATTAAAAAAATTCACCCTGACTACCCTTGATAGTGCTTCCTATCCAAAACCCGTTATCCACCTTCTTTCTCCTAAAAACTTACAACTTTCATATAAAACTTTTTCTTGTATCTCTTTTAGTTTCTGAGATATTTGCCTGGAGCGATTAAAATGTCCCACCCTGCATACATCCATCTTACAAATGTAAATTGCTGTTACAATATAATCATTTAACCTCGTTATAGGAAATGTCAAAATGTACATATTATGAAAGCGTCCCAGTTTTTATGTCTATTTTGTCTCAAGTAGGTACTTGTCACGCAAAGTATGCAGAGTACAAAAGAATCGACCAGCAATTGGGCCAAATATGTATAGGTTCTCGATGAAATGTTCAAGCTGTTTTATTTGACATACACGGAGAGAATTTTTTCTTAGAATTTACTCTGAAAATATGACAGTCGTGGGACGACATTGTATTTCGAAGAATTTTAATGTAAATCTCTCTCATCCATTAATAAAACTACAATAAAGTATAAAATAAGTTCGATCAATTTTACTGAAGTGCATGGTAAAAATCTTTAAAATATTGTATTGTACCACAACTATATACCATATTTTCAGGGTAAATTTTAAAAGAAAATTCTCTACGTGTAGAAATGACATTATGATGAATTGACATAATATTATCTTTGACATAACAATAAATAATTATATAAATAATAATTATAATTAATAACATTTATTATAGATATTTTTTACTTAGTGCATTTAAAAGATTATAAAATTATTGTGGGAGATTTCTTCGAATTTGTTTTTTTAAATAGGTAGAACTTACGTCTGAATTGACAGTAGACAGAAAATGAGCGGCCACGTGTTCCGGAAGTATATTTGCGAGCAATTTCTGGTTGTAGGCCTTCAAGTGTTCCATTTCCTCCTTCTCTTCGGTCGCTTGTAACTTCCATAGGAAATCCAATCTGTATTAGTACACAATGTATGTCAATAGTCTTCAACTATATCTGCCATGAAAAATATTTGAACAAATTACATTACGTTTTTCAGAATGTTTTATATTTTATGAAATATATTGACATGTGCGTTCTAGAATTTCTAATACGTATCATGTCACGTATTTTAAAAAATTGTAATTGGCAGATTTTTGTATAAATCTGCACGTAACAATATCTTTTTAATAGTAAAACGTATTTGCTTTAATTAGGTTTCGATGTGTCAATATATTCATGAAATATCCCGAATACTTGCGTCTCTATACATATACGCGGCTTATGCTTCGACTATGAAATTATTCTGCGAAAATCAGTTCATGAGATTGCCGATCCGCGACATTGTTCGCGACGAGATGAACGCTTTCGTGGGAAATTCCACGAAGGCTTCAAAGATTTCGAACGTGCAAGTTCAGGATGTATTTACGAGCTGACGATGCGTAAGTTTCGGGAAGTAAAATGTTAAAGTGTAAGCATGTTCGACCTGTAGGTCGCCTCTGTGTGCTGGGAATGTGCCACTAGGCAGGCCATGAAGAAAACCACTAGTACACCCGCCAACCATCTTCCAGCGGGCTCTACGTCGTCCTCATTTAGTGCCTGATAAATGCTGACCCCGAGATAACAAGCCACAACAATGCTCAATACGGCTACTTTAAAGACCGACGTTAGGATCTGATACACCGCGCAGGTTACCATCACCAGCATCACCAGAACCGGAAACAACTGCAATCAGTTGCGGAGTGTCAGTCTGTGAATTCTTGTAATTTCGTGAAAATCGCTCTCTGTATCACGTCCGTGCTAAAAGTCTTCTTTTTAACGTCACGGAATTGTACGAGACCGACGAATACGTTCTTTAATTACAACATAACAGTTTTTTAAATTTGTAATTATTTTAACTTTTTCGTCAATGCACATATTGGTACTCGATTATTTATATTAAATTTTAAACAGCAAAAATTTTTATATTTTTGTGTAAATTTCATTATGATGCTTCAAAAACTTTACTTTTTGCACAACAAAAAACTGCAGTTTTGTATAGATTTTATCTCGTTTTATTTTTACATTTTTTTGTGGGAACCTTCTAAAACACGATAGTGAAAAGGTGAAAAATTGTGCACAAGAAGAGTTCGCGGAAGAGTTAACAGAAGAGTTAACTGCATAAAATTTAATATTAATTTTGCATGAATTCTACTGGTATTTTATATAAAAGATTATGGGTTCGTTAGACTTGCACAGCTTTTTCAGCTGTGAGATCACAAGTGTAGTCTCTTCTTTTGAAGTAACTCTGATTTTTTCTTATTATTCGCGTTTCTTTCACAACGGCTTCGCGAATTTGAGTGAAGACTCGATTAATCATTGTCTGTCTATTTAACGCCGATATCATATATAACTTACGTCACAGAAAAGAATATAATCGCAAATGCCGGGGGCATCGATATTCTTCGTCGGTACTCTCATTACGCTGGGATGCTCATCCGGCGATTCCTCGGCGAAAGGCAACGAGTTATTGTTGAGGCAAGTCTCACTTCCGGTTAGCGTGATCTGCAGCGAAACGACAAAAATTCGGTCGTTTACTATTTTACTACGAGAATGTAAAACATTCGATCGCTCGCAGTATATAAATGCACAATCCGTTCGTGGACCGATATTTTTTCCGTCCGTTTGTGATTTAATTGTGAACGTTCATGGTAACTTTATTATTCCGCAGCGTGTATGATTAATCGCAGTATCGATGCTCGCGTTCGATTTATCGCTAAAAGTTTTGGCACAGCAGACTCTAATTTATATCGCGTTATAGTTTTAATATGAGTTTTTCGAAGCAAACGGTGAGACCGATTATTGGATTAAAAAATTGAAAATGAAAGAGAGAGAAAGAGGAAAGCATGTGCTGAAAGCTTTATTCGCGAATAAATCATTTGTTTAATATTACGTGATTAATGTCTTATAGGACTAATGGATTTTATATCTCCTGGATTTTATGTCTCCGGTTTCTCGAATATTAAATTTTTGAATTATTGAATTTGTGTAAATGTTACATTTGTCAGCTTGAATATTTCTTAAGTTTTGATATTCATTGTTTTTCAATAATCTAAAAAATGATAAACTAATGCAAATTTTTTACATATATATTTGAAGAAGTTATTGTTGTCGTGATGCACGAGAAATGTTTAGATAGTCTCATAGATAGTGTACTAACATAAAACACAAACAATAACTGCATTAAGCTTCGATTACTCACCAGTGGCGATAATACCGTGATGAACGTTAGAAACACGACGATGGATGCGATGCTCTGCGCGATGATGCGATTCTCAAAGATCTGTAACGCCATGCTTCTCACCCATTTTGGCACCTTCTGTGAAACGCGCACAATTAAGGCAAAAGCGATAAATAAAGTATTAATCGATTGTTGTATCATTTATGGAAAATTCATGGCAATGTATATAATCGCGCGAATGGATACGACATATTGTCTCTAAATTTCTTGAAGTACAATCTCATACACACACACACACACACTCCAAAAGAGTTAAAATACTGCCACTATTGAAAAAGAGTGAAAAATTTGCACTCTTGAATAAGAGTGGTAGATTTTCACTTTGTTTTTTAGAGAGATTCGTTTCAAAGGAAAAAAATTCACTCCTTTTTTGCTGATTGTTGTGACATTTATAAAAAACAATTGCTCTCTCTACTTATAGATAAAATTGCTTTCTAAACTTCTTGGAGTGAAATCTCACTCCAAAAGAGTGAAAATCTACCACTCTTATTTAAGAGTGCAAAGTTTTCATTCTCTTTCAATAGTGGCAGTATTTTAATTCTTTAATTTCGAGTGAGATTTCACTCCAAGAAGTTTAGAGAGCAATTTTATTTATAAGTAGAGAGAGCAATTGTTTTTCATAAATGACACAACAATCAGCTGGTATTTGTTCTACCGTGTGCTTTTAATCCTTATTCACTTGGCTCTAAATTACTAATTAAATAAAGGGATAATTAAAGGTTACGATTCCCAGGATCATCGGGAGAGATTAATGGATGCGCTATGACCAGAATCGCTAGTTTCGGCAGTGACCTGGAAGCTTGCCACCTGGTCAGGGTCAAAAAGAAATGGCTCTTTCCCAGAGAGTTTTGACTCGACGTTGTACGTGACGTATCGCGCGATTTATTCAAATTGCGTTTATATAGATAGATGTACAACTTTATATAATAGCCACCAGGGAAAAAAAGACAATAATTGCTATTACTAATATCTAATTCTACAATCCCGAAGGAAGAGCGAAAATTCATAATACACTTATTCGGATACATTCTCGAGAGAATGTATACCGAAAAAAAATTTACTAAATCTTAATATATATTTCTTTGAATAATACTAAGTAAACATGTTTACTTACAATAAATAAATATTTATTCAATAAAAAAATGATAGTTAAATTAGGTAATTAGATTCTTCGGATTTGTCCATTTTCAATCAGACATTTTTTCAGTGTATTCAAACAAATATTTATTAAAATTTAATATTTTTTTCAGTGTATCACACCTGTGACTTCTTACCTCGTTTTTTTCCGCCAATAAAATGCCATTCACGAGGGCTATCACCAGCACACTAATCGCCGTGCAAACATAGAAGTATACGCTCCTAGGAAGACAAAAGAGACATTTTAACGTGCTTTTCCACGAGCTACTTTTGCGAGAAATTTTTCGAATGTCATCAGATTTATACCGTCTTACTCGCTAACTTACCGAACGATTTTCGTGAAAGTACCCATAAATATTAGAACGAAAGACAATTCGATGTCAGTAAAGTACGAGTATTTTACACATCGGGTCTCGAGAGTATAGTAAAAGGAAGATACCACTGCCGCTATATAGAAGGTAGGATTTATTGGTACGTGTATTTACCCGGCGAGGGTGATGGCTATTGCGACCACAACGACCATGTAGACGAAACCGGAGCACACAAAATAAGCCGAGAGCATCCTGTCCCTCTCGCGCGAGTACTGCAACAGGTTATTAAAACAATTGCAATATCGCATATTGCTTCTACGTTTTCATACGAGATGTTTACTGCTAACAGATGCAGTGTTTTTAATCACATTATCAGTTGTTGGACAATTTTGTAGACAATTTTGACGTGATCTTTTTTCTTGATGAGAAAATGTAATATTTTGTTCAATCAATGACGACACAATTCTATTCAATCAATGACATACAGTTCAATTACGTGGAATCCGGAATAACTCAAATACACGTTTAAGCAAATTAACCAAAATTAAATTCAAACGATCTTCTATTAACATGAATTACTGCGTAGTTTGGTCACACTCAATTGTATACATGGACAGTTCAGTACGCAATTACAGCTCGTATTTCGCGTATTATTACAATTAAATTAATTAAATCTCTAAATTCGAGAAAGATCATTCATATAAAAAACAATGTTAAAATATTTTAAATAGAACTTTTATTGCACAGAAGTTGGATAATCATTTTAATGAACACTATCGCGTTCACACTTAAATGTGAAATAAAATTACAATTTTATATTAAGATTTATTTTATCAAATAATATGAAACTATTCGAAAACTATTAGAAGCTATTAGACGAAATAAATTTATAACTGTAATTGGTTCATGACAAATTCAATATATTACGATAATTTATGCTCTTTTTGATTTTACTATAAGTATATTACTTATCTTGTAATGTAACTTGTTACCTTTTCTTCGACATCCGGTCTTCGAAACGTTAATATAAACGGCGTACAATGTTCTGCTCTTAATCGATCTATACTTCTAGCATCTATCGCTCTCATTAGGTACTCGTTTACTTCATCTTCAGGATCTTTTTCGCCCTCGATGGTTTCACCGAAACCTAATCTATTGAAACATATGCATCAAGTATTATCCAATTGAAAAATACGTAAAGTTTACTCGATGATTTTCATTTGTGATATAAATTATTCCAATATAATGTTTGTGACGATTTAATTATTTTAATCGACTTATTATTACAATAAAAGTAGGATTTTTATTTTACGATATAACTGAAAAATATGTAGGGCTCTGAGAATAAATCAACTAAAAGGGGATAAAAAAGCCAATTAAGAGCCTACGCGGTTGTTGATGCGCAAAGTTATTTCTTATTTAGGTATTTACTCGTCGAAAACAATCGTTTCAACCGACGTTTTCGGTCCTTTTCAATGCGAAAATATATATTAATTAATTAAATAAATTATACACTATAAATTACGGAATACATAATGTTATTAATTAAGTTAATTTGTCACAAATACAAAAGTAAAGTTAAAGTAAGTTAAAGTACAAAAGTACGAAACATATATCCGGGGTCATTTTGTTACCGCAATGGAGTTAGTAGTTACAAAGTGAGACGCAAATTCAGATATGACAGTGGTCAGTTACGTAATTACAGTTGTGTAATTACAGTTTCAACGTTTATAAGATATAGACATAATATTAATTTCACTCATTAGGTTTTCACTTTGACACATAATTTATTAGAACATCACAATAGCCCACAAAGGACACCACAATAGCCCACAAAGGACATCTCGATTTGTAACAAGTTAGTGAAAATCCTTGATATTAATAAAAGTTGACAGCATAAGATGTAAATTAAGAAAAAAAGGCAAGACCGTATAATATAGATTGTAGGTTCCAAGAAATTTGATATTATAGTGCACGGTAAAAGTTCTGGAACGGCTAATATCTCAAAAAATATTGATTTATCAAAAAAATGTTTGAAACAAAAGTAATAGGGTTTTAAAAAGTTATCAGATAATGATATTAATTGGACCTTAGAATGAAATTTGATAGAATTGGAAAGTGCTTTTAAAGTCATTACAAAAATCTTAAACGGAACTCCTTATTTTTCATATCTTTATAGCCGATGTTGAGACGTTTCCAGAACACTGGTTACAAACCTTTTCTTCATAAGAACTTTCCGAGTTATGGGATTTGAAAGTTACAGTACCGCCGGCATTAGCATTAAATTTCTTGGAACCTACGACCTATATGGTCTTGTTTTTTTTCTTAATTTATATCTTATGCTATCAACTCTTACTGATATCAAGGATTTTCACTAAGTTGTTGTACAAACCGAGATGGTCCCTTGTCAGCTTGAATCATTATTTTATCAGAACGAGTGGTGTTACACATTAGACAATCTGCCAACTGACCACTGTCACATCTTGACTTGCGTCTCACTTTTGTAACTACTGACTCCATTGCGGTAACAAAATGACTTCAGATATATGTTTAGTACTTTTGTATTTTAATTTGTGACAAATTGACTTAAATATTATCCATTCCGTAATTTATATAGTGTATAATTTATTATTTAATTAATTAATGTTTTCTCATTAAGAAGGACCGAAAACGTCGGTTGAAACGTATGCGGATTATTCTCGATGAGTAAATAAATAACTTTGCTCATCCACAACCGCATAGGCTCTTAATTGGTTTTTTATCCCCTTTTAGTTGATTTTTATTTTATTTATTGCTTATTTTTTAGGGTAGACTGATTTATATTACATTTGTTTGTAAATTAAAAGTATATAATAGTAATACAAAAATATAACAGTTATAATTGTTTTTTAATTTATTAGAAAACGATCTTAAATTACCACAGAATTATGTAACATTTGAGTATTTCGTAATGATGGCAATTTTCGGACATTATTTAAACGATGAGACATAATATCATGACATTTTAAATGTCAAGGATTAAGAAATTAAGCACCAATAGGAGTTCTTACTTGGTTTGTTTTCCATGTTGCGAACCATGACCCATAACTCTCATTTCTTTAGATACATTACTATTTGCTGGGAAAGTTTTTCGCATTCCAGAATTAGTTATGTTGTCCTTAAATGTGTCTCCCGGGACAATCAAGTAGGTTCTGATATTATGGTCTTTTAAGTACGCGTTCCTCTCACCCCCGCGACCTTCCTCGACTTCATAATACTCGCCCAAGCAATCTAAAGTCTCTTTCGTGATGTGCACACGTCTGCGAAATATCATACCTTTCATTAAATATTAACTTCGTCGTAACAACTCATCAATATTAAGAAAATGTCTTTTAACAAGGATAATTTGTTTGCGATATGGTTTTTTATTTAAGATTACGCATTTAACGAACCGAAAAGTTTTATATGAATTGGAGTAAAACAAATAGAAATTATGTAAGTATATCGACGTAATTTATCACCGTCAATCGAGACTAACTTAAAGAGGACAAGTCAGTCAAGAACTAACAAACCTCGAGCAAAATTGTTTGTACTCACCCGGGTATACCTCCGCTTTCCATGTAATTGGCTAGAGTCACGTCGTTGCTCCAAACATCAAACTGCCATTTTCTTAGACCAAGAACCCCGCAGTGAACTCGGCCCGTATGGATACCGACTCTCATATTCACGTTTACGGCCATTACCTCGCGTACCAATCTACGGAGATACGGACGTGAGAATTTATTGTTTCTCCTATCATTAGACCGTGTAAGATGAATAACTGTATCTTTTGAGTTTGTGACAACAAACAAGCAAACTTTTTTGTCATTAAGTGTACTTAGTGATTACTTAGGTATTCGAAGCCTTCAACTATTGGAAAAGTTATGAAGTACTTTCGTTATTAATGGAAATAAGAAGAAAACATTTATAAGTAATAAATATATATAAATGTTGACTTTTTCGATTAAAGTTAGCCAATAATTGCTCTTTCAGTTACAATGATTTGCTCTTCAATATTTTTTTATTTTTTATTATTTGGTTTCCGCATTTATTTGTAAAAATTTGTCGTATAAATACTTAAAAACGAATGTTAAATTTTGCACGCGGATAACTGTTCCGATCGTGGATGAAACAGTTTCCCGGCAAGTTCGATTAGAAGAAACATATGGCGAAGTTTAAGACGAGATTATCGAATTGAAATTTAAACACTCGTGAAGGATTTATCTGCATACAGTGACCTGTGGATACTAGGAGTCTTTCATAACGATGCGAATCTCAGTCGCGGTCTCCGAGGAAATCTTCTCTTTGACGAAACACATTTTATGAAAACACGAAACGAACCAAATATGAGATATATAGCGCACGGATACTCCGTCGGAAGTTCTGTGGTCGTTTTGTGGATCTAAACGAAAGCATCTTTATTGCTCGGATGTTACTTTGATCTGTTAGTTCATATCTTTCCTATCCTTTTCCATTTCCCTCTCTCTTCATTTCTTTATATTTATCTATCTCTCTTCCTCGGCAGCTTTTGAGATTCTATCTTCAGTTATTTTTATTTTATATTTCCTTTGTACGTTATCAAACGAACTATGAGGATAAAAAGGAGTATTACATAGATCTTTGATGTTGCTGATGGAACATGTGATAGATTTATTTTGCTATTTTATAATTTTTAATGTAGATACATTTCGAATCATGACATAGATCTCAATTATGCTTTAGCTATTTATTATCATATATATTGGTTTTAAAGAGCGACATGTATATGAAACAATATTTTTCTTTGACAACAAAATATATAATAAAAGCTTGACAAAGCTATTGCGTGAGAAATGAAGAAATGTACGGACTTACGTTATTGCATCGATCATGTCCAATCCCATTTCTACGCAACAGTGAGCGTGATCTGGCCGTGGCTCCGGAAGTCCAGAAACGCAATAATAACAGTCTCCGAGGAGCTTTATCCTGAGGCAGTGGTGCTCAGCAGCTAGCCTGTCAAACCTGCGGAATATTTATCAAAATTCAACGTACGTAATGATTTATGATATCGAGAAAACCTAACTATCGAGAATGGAGTTTTGCCTCAGAGAGTAATGCTTTTCTCGTGGAAATATTACGCAGATCTTTGGCTGTCGCAATCAAAGTTATTTTCGCGGATATCAGTTTCGTAACACACAATTTAAGTATAGAAATACTCGCTATTTTCCCTCATGTAACTCCACACTCCTCATGTAACTTTTGTAATATATTTTCCTATACTGTATTCTGAAAAATATAATTGTGGATTTAACACCATGCGATCTATATAATTCTCATTGTATTGATGTTAATATTATAGTGTGAATTTAAAACTGATGTTTGTACCATCATAGTGTGGATTTTCAAACCCACATGATGTTAAATCCACATCATCTTGGTATTAATATTAACAACTTAATGAGAATTACGTAGATACTGCATGTTAATCCACCAATATTTATTAGGATGTAGGCACACTACATATGCAACTTTTCCATTTTTGTTATACGTATTTTGTTGTTGATTTTCTTTACTAAAGTTTTAATTTAATTTCTAACTAAATATCTAATGTTACTACTATCCTTGTTTGACATTAACACTTAATCGAATTATGTGCGGTAAATGCGATATCGTGTTAAATTAATTTGAAACGACAGAGAGATGACGCGTCAACAAAAGTAAGGACACTAATAAACCGTGAGATAATCGGTTTATTCAGATTAGATATTCAGTAACGTCGCGTTCCGCGCGGTGCATATTATACGAAATTAATTCAGAGCGCCAGAAGGGCGATATTAATATTTCGCGCGTACCCAAATCCCCATAACGCGTAACGTGTATTATGTTAATCTAGTTTAGTGATACGTAGGAAATAACAGTCCCGATGGGTACGTACGACTCAAATAGTAATTAAATCACTCAATTATTAACGCATTATCATTAAATCTTTGAGAGGTAATATAATAGTCTATTTTAATATTGATATTGAAATATTACCGTGTTACATAATATCAATCCACTTAAGCACCACACAAAATATATGTAATTGACAAAATATATCTTGTATATTCGATGGTTAGTTTGCTAATTCGATTTGCCTAATTCCAGGATATATAGATATATGCGACATAATTTTTTAATGATATTAAATCGCGGAATTATCATTTCATATTTTTCACGGAGGTTCAACGATATTTAAACGTTGATCTTTTGTGTTCCTCATTTTCTTTTTTGAGCATTTTTTTCGAAAGGGATATTTCTGTCTTCTCTCGTAAAGATGAAAGTGTTACATTCGCAAAATCCCGGAAAGTGATCTTCGCTGTACTGATATATGAAAGCTGGCATCATCGCGAGGAATGAAAGCGGCCTTTATGACCTCTTAGCAAATCCCTCTTGGTAGTAGGATAAGTACACCCTATTGACCCGAAAAGTCACTAAAGACGCGGATCCATAACTGTCAAAAGACTCGAGCGTTGATAGAACATAAGGAATACGAGTAAAGCTTTAAGAGTTAAGAGGGTTTAGAAACTCTTGATACAAATGCAGTAGATTGACAATGTTCATCCGAGATAAAGAACGAAACTTCAGTAAATATATAGACTTAACAATTAATTTAATGTTCATAAAATATTATTTTATCAATATAGTTTTTCTATGAATTTAAAAATACTTTATATTATTGAAGTCCAACATCAAATTTATCTTTCTGTAAGTAAAAATAATTAAGCAAAGTTTTCGATATATTAATTTAGTTTTATATAATGTGTACGTAGTTCACGAAACGTAAATACATTTTAATGTCAAACTGATGTCAAATTGACAAAGCGCAATCTGTCCGCGAGATTTCAAAAGGGATTTATATTCGTTGAAGTACAAAAGATTCTGTGTGGGGTCGGAGGAATAAGAATATTTACAAGACATAAGAGATCAGAGACAACAGGATTGCATTGAGAGAAGGAAACTGAAAGAAATTGATATTTTGATCGAGTCGAACAGGTGGAAACATATGTATACCACGGACACAATAATCCGTTATGCTTCTAAACGTTTTCTGAATAAAATAAATAAAAATAGAAAAGAGGATTTGAATGCATGATTGTGATAGAATAGCTTGGCGAGTTTCTTGAGATTTATCGACCGTATTTTTAAAATTTTATTCATTTTAATACGCGTTGATTTTATTATACTTTTTGTACGGATTTAGTATTAAAAATATTTCTTTTATTTTAGCATCATTTCTTACCGTGCAAAAAGTTCGTTGAGCAATCTAACGAGCTCTTCGGCAGTGCATTGATCGGAGAGCGAGGTAAATCCACAAATATCGGCGAATAAAATGCTGAAATGTTTAATAATAAAATCAGTTATTTCAGTTAAGTTAATTTTCGAATTAACTTTTGATACAAACAGTTTCTAAATAAGCACTGTTGTCAATAGTTCTGTAATTACTTTGCCTCAAACGGGAAAATGTCGCGTTAAACATTTGGGAAAGGGAAAATTAGGGACGAAAAATTATCACAAGTTCGTGGAAATTCTAAAGTTAAATGAACATGACATTTGCTCTTTGCGAATTAAGTTAGATTGATCTGAGTTTGGTGAGACGTCTAACACGAGAGATTGGATGTAACATCTCAACCCACTTCAAACCAATCCAGAATTCTCTCTATGCAACCACGTGTGCTTATCATGTTGCGTGCACTGTACCGTGATAAATCGCCAAGTTTGAAGCATCTGGCGTTACTGCATTATGAGACGATCAAGCTCATATCATCTCATACATACTGCATAATGCGCTTACGATAGTGCATAATTATTTGTATCTATTCTAATAATAATCTCAGTGTGATACAATATTGTAATAATGATGTAAATTGTACTAAAATATATGGAAAGAATGATTTTGCTGAAAAAGATACACTGAGAAAAAAATTGTTGACTAATTATTAATAATTTAGCTCGTCTTTATTTCTTTTGAAGAAGAATGTATATATTTAAGTAAATTAAATATATTATATTTAATTTACGTTTATTTTTACCAATGTATTATAGATTAATTTAACTTCAATTTTGGTTTAATTTACTCTTTGTTCTTTTTTAATTTTTAGAACTAGAAAAAGATAAAGAGTAAGTTTACGTTTTGTTTTTTTTCTAATTTTTAGATCTATACGAAGAGAATGTTTTTAGAATTTACTCTGAAAATATGACAATCGTGGGACAACATTGTATCTCGAAGAATTTTTTTAATGTAAATCTCTCATTCATTAATATAAAACTACAATATAAAGTATAAAATAAGTTTAATCAATTTTACTGAAGTGCATGGTAAAAATCTTTAAAACATTGTATTGTATACTGTAAAAAATACTCAGAATGGACACAACTAAATCTGAGGGTTGCGCGATTTGAGTTAAGCGAAGTGTAATCAAATGGTCAAACCATTAATCATTTTCATGCACTTCTTGTCACATCATGGCGATAAACATTTTTTTCAGAGTGGTTACTAATTAATGGAATCTATATACAGGGTGTTTCCAAATTAAATCGCAAAACTTCGGGAGCGTGTAGAGGAGTAAAAAACTAAGAAAAAAAGTCCTATAGACATATGCTCGTTT